CAGTACATAAAGGCACCAGCTGTCGAACCAGAGCCTGTGTCCAGGGGGCAAAGGCGTGGTGGGGGCGGGGGCGGGGCTGACAACAACATAGGACCAAAGAGTAGATGAAGGCATCTCCCCAAACCCATCCCCCAAGACAGGAGAACCCTCCCTCCACAGCACCTGCAAGAAAGATTGTGGACACCTACCCCTTCCCATCCCAGAGAAACCAGGTGTCTGGGCTCCCCACCCAGCCCCTGCATCTCTAGCCAGTCTGTCTCTGGGATCAAGGGGCCTAGAGCCAAGTCCCAGGTTCTACCCCAGCCCTGGGAGGGGAGTGGGGTCTAGGGGTTAGAGCAGGGGAGCTGGGAGCCAGGCCCTTTCCCCTCCACAGATCAGGCCCCAACCATCAACCCAAGAGCAGCTGGTGGCTAGACATGGGGCACAGTGGGCAAAAGGCCCCTGCCTCAGTGGCGAGCTCCCCTCTTCCCCCTCCTGCACCTGCAGACATGGTGGGCACATCCCTTGCAGCAGGACAAATGGGGCCATTGTGGCACTGTGCCAGGCCAGCCAGTGGCATCAGGGACCTGAGTTCTCACCAGGCCTGAGGGCCTCCAGGGCAGCTAGGAATCCCAATCCCCTGTGACTGTGCCAGCCAGGCAGGTAGGCGCCCCTCCCCCAGCCACCCACTGGCATGGGGCACAGCGATCCCCGGGGGAGAGGGCAGCGCCAGCCCGCCCTGTGCCGTGGGGCTGCCAGGCCCAAGCCCAGGGTCCCACGACCTGGAGAAGGGGGCACTGCTGGGGGGCCCCCGATTGGGGCCTGAAGGGGGGACCGGGGGCCCCCCCACAGTGCCTGTGCCCCATTGTACTAGGCCCCCAGCCACCCACTGGCATGGGGCACAGCGATCCCCGGGGGAGAGGGCAGCGCCAGCCCGCCCTGTGCCGTGGGGCTGCCAGGCCCAAGCCCAGGGTCCCACGACCTGGAGAAGGGGGCACTGCTGGGGGGCCCCCGATTGGGGCCTGAAGGGGGGACCGGGGGCCCCCCCACAGTGCCTGTGCCCCATTGTACTAGGCGCTAACGGGACCCCGGACTCTCCCAGCTCAGGGAGGCGGGGGGCGTGAGAACCGGGGCGGGTGACCTTGGTAACTCCCCCTGTGCCCCCAGAGGAGGGGCTCCCCCAGCCCCTT